GACTTTCAGACTTCCAAGATTCTGATAATGTAACCTTACAATAAAGATAGAACTACCTCACTAGGCTGGCAGAATGTCTTTGTACCTTGTGCATTCTACATGGGAACTCTCTGGACTCAAGAGCATGGAAATAAGCCTTTTCTATGGCTGTCCCAAACTTAAAATTCAGTCCCTCCTGATGTCAGGATTGCCTGCTCCCTGATATCTTTCAGAAAAAGATGAAAAACATTTTTTTAAATGTAGTGTGTGTTTCAGAGCATAAGTTTAATGTAATGGCTGGTATTTGGGAGTGGATCTTGTTTTGTCTATGGTGTCTTATAAGGGTTTTGTTATTGTGAGCTGACCAGAGTCAGTGAGTAGGATGGGATACAAGTGGTGCAACATAAATATATCAGTAAGGGTAATAGGAAAAGCAACAAGACTCCAGGTGCAATTCTAAGCATGTTTACTCAGAAATAAGTCTTCACAAAGTATATAGTTAAGCTGAAGAATTCAGTACTGTATGATGCAAAGGACGCCAACAACTTAGATGATTTTTAAATTGGATTTTACAACTTCATGGAAAATAAAATTATCAATTACTGTTAGTCGTAACAGTTTATATATGATACCTTGTGAAAGAACAACAGTAGAAAAGGGCTACTGTGGGCTTTCCTGAGGTATCTAATTGATTATTCTGGAAAACAGGAAATGGGACTAGACTGGATCATGATCTGATCCAACAGGGCTGCACTTTTTAAAACCTACTTTGCTATTGGGCTGGCAGTTGACTTCATTTTAAAGTTTTGATGCTTACCATCAGATGGTTTGGAAAGTCCACTGAGGATGTTTATCAATGTAGTTTTTCCAGCTCCACTATGACCAAGAATTGCAGTGATCTGACCTTCATAAATATCCAAGGACAAGCCTAATATAGAAAGAATTTATGTTCATTCTGTAAGTAAAATGATACGTTGAGACATCTGACAGAAGAAATCATGCTGGCCCTTTTGACATACAGCTATGACATTAGCCTGGCACCTTAGTTTAAGAATCCATATTGTTCTTGGCAAAGCAGCCAAGCCTGAGGGACTGTGAGGGACAAAAAAGAAACCATAAAAGAGTAAAAAAAAAAACTTCTTTAGATCATTGTGTCCTCCACTGATTTGTTTTAGGATATTTGGTTCCTCTACTGATTAGATTAAAGAGAACTGGTTCCAAGTAAATTATGGCCATTGAAATTTGTTTCCACACAATCAGGGAATCCAGGACCTACAAATTGGCAAGAAAAACAGCTGGATCCTAAAATATTTTGCAGTTGTATACAATGATCTTATTCTGTTAAGCAGTTCTAAAACCAAAAGTTTTCCTGAAACTTATTTTTACATCACAGGATGTTATTTCCTTTCTTCATCCATTCTAAGCACTTTGAGTTCATTGTTTTGTATTCTATGAGTAAACCACTGAGTTCTTCATATTTTTTATCCTGAATTTTATAATTGCTACTGATTGCAATGCCAGTTATTCTTTCTTTTTGCTGGTACTCATACAACAAGTCTCCCCCATTATTTCCTATCAAGGACATGGGAGGAAATTAGAAATCAAGTTTCCTTTCCCTTTCAACCAGTGATCAAAAAGCTGATGGAGTGTGTGGAGATGAAAGTGTAAAAGCCCTGGGGACAGGTCACAAAGATAACCTTTGAAAGTTGCTTAAATTTAATGCTTAAATTTAAAGGATCTCAGGAAGCTTTCCCCACAAGCAGGAGAGCAGGACTGCTATGTTAGGTGTCAACCTTTTCACATGACTCACACAATAGCTTGGATTACCCTCCCCCCGCAAAACCCCCAAATCAATAAAATCATGTCAGTTTACTGTATCTCATTAATTTCTGGCATTTTAATCCTTGAGATATCATGTACACTCAAACAAGAATTATAGTATTTCCTGCATTTTCTTGTCAAATGTCTCATGAGATTTCATGCAAAGAACCCCAACATTTAATATAAATTGGCAATCACAGTAGATTATGCCCATTTTATTTATAAAAGATGAATTAACTTTGGAGATCCAAGAATGCCATCTACACATAATAGGGATGCCCTATCTCCCAAATATTTTGTGTTGACAATCCCTAATCTACTTCATAGGATCAAAGCAATAGTCTATATTCTAAACTGTGGTTATCTTACCTTTCAAAGCTTCTGTTTCTGTGCTTTTCATTTTGTACATTTTTTTAATGTTATTTAGTCTAAAAAATAGTGAAATAGTTATTTGTCAGTACATTGGGGGATTCTTCTCACAAATCTCACAATCATTCAATATATCACTTTGAAATAGGAGAATATTAATTTAGCATTCAGTATATCATTGTAAATGTTAGACATGGGATATATTTTCCTCTGGCATATGCCCAACAGACATAAGAAAATAATAATTAATATAAAAACATAATAATTAATATAATATAATATAATATAATATAATATAATAATAAAAGACAATACAGGTAGTCCTCA